ATCATAGAGGCTCCAGCTTTATCGTTTAGTACAATCCCTACACCACGCTGACCAAGTAAGCGGGCTTCGTCGTCTCCTGATATGCGAAGAAAATATCTCGATGACAGACCCGGTGTACTCAGGTGGCTTATAATACTAGGATCCTGAATTCGTGCCTCCGATACGCAACATATAACGATTTCTAGAGACTGCGTTGTACGCGCAAGACACGCCTGTTGACCCACCTGCATAAGTCTTAACGTTGAAAGCCCCCAGATTGAGAGGCTGACGAGGAAAACTAGTTACAGTGTTATTTGGCAACGACCTCTGGCGAGTGACGACCAAGTTGTGTGAGGGAATGTTGGAAGAAGGGGTAAAGAGCTAGGGTTGGGTACGGACGACAAATAGTTAAACTAAGGTTGGGATATATAGCTGAAGTTAACTGCTTTTCGTACTTAGGTAGCTGCGTGACCAACGACGGTAGCACATCAAAAGCATCAAAGGAGATAACCGCTCGCATTTCCGAGGCTCGAGCAGCATACACAGGACTGAAACACCTTTGACGTAGACATGACGTTTCACTGAAGCTGATAGGTCGTGTCTATAGTGCTACAGTGGTGGCGCAGTGGTTTCGTCGCTGTAACCGGCATGCTTTGAACTCTATCGTCTGAGATTCGAGCCCCGCCACCCGACTTTGATGGTGGGCAGCTCTGCTGCCGTCTGGTTCCATATCACGCCTAACCTATCTGAGCCTTATGTGGTTCGCCACTCCAAATGCCGAGGCATAGGTTGCCGATCTCCACCACTGAACAGCAGGTACTTGTGACTATGGGTTTCGCCCCAGCTTTCGTCTGTCGGCACCGTGCTTTATTCGCTGTAGCCGCTCTGGGTTGGAGGAAACCACGTGGTGGTCAACAGATGACGTGGAGACGAGGCATGATGAAATGCCTTCTAAGTTGGGGTCCGAAAGACTCCACGATCAGTTGCTTGGCTATATCGAAGGATATGGCAGTGAACGGATAGCAGTGGCGTTTTTGTTGTCATTTCTTATCAGGTCAAAATGCTTGAAACGGCATGTATACAGAATTCGATTGTGTACTCTGTGTGCTGACCATAGAGTTACACCTGCCCCTCCCTCAAAATAGGTCCAATCCCTGTCCACCTTAAATTTTACCACTAACCTTGTACGTATTGTGAGTTTGATAGCGATCAGTGAGGTTCGCTTCACTGTATTTTGTTATATGGTGATGATGACGTGTCTCCGAAACTTGCATACAAGACCCTACTTCAATCATTTTCCTCCGTTCTCCAGATCCCACCCTTCTTAAACTTCACTCGCCGTTTTTTTATTACAGACCAGTGTGTGATGAACAGCAGACGGGGTGAGCCCTATAGTCACGAATACCTGCTATTCAGTGATAGTAAACGGCAACGTAAGCCCCGGGGCTTGGAGTGATGAACCACATAAAGCCCGTCTAGCTCAGGCGTGGTATAAAACCGAGAGACAGCAAAGCTGCCTACCTCCGTGTGTTAGGCGATTCAGGATCCGAAGTTCAAAATGTTGCTGGTTTTGGAATCGCGCTAAGTGCGCCGGTTGTGCTCGCTTTCTGACTAGATAACGCTGATAAGTAGCCGACTGTGCGCTGCGGTTCAGCAGGGGTGAACAGCTACAGACCGGATCGTCGATGCTTATTCATCGTATCGGTGTATGCACCAACCAATTGCAGTCAGCCAGAAATGAAGGGTGAATTCTACATGGACCTTTCCCAATTACTCCAAAGTGTTCGACAAACGAAAATTGTAGTAGTCACTGGGGACTTCAGTGCTCAATTAGGATTCCTGGATGAATCAGAAAGGCTTCTTGGCGAACCACATGCAATTCCATCCAACTGGACGGACAACGGCAATCGCCTACTTCAACTCTGCGCGGACCTTGGGTTGTTTCCGTCGAGCACGAACTTCTCGCACGAGAACCGATATTGCCTTACACGGAAACCACCGCCCTCTTTACAGCACTGGACCCAAATCCACCACATCGCCATCAGTTACCGCTGTAGGATGTTGATCCAAGACTGCCGTTCTTACTGGTCAACACCTGTGGATACAGACCACTATTACAAGCCGAGTTCTCCTTATACCTGGAAAATAACCGCTAAAACGCCACTGTCAACGGATACCCACGAGACAATGTCAGCGACTGTTGCAAGTCTGCCTTCGAAGAGGAGCTCCCCGATCACCCGTCGGTTCCAACACCAGCCGAAGGACTCAATGAACACCGGAAGCAAATCAAAGAAGCTATGCAGATATCGATGGAAACAATGTCGGATCCTGGCACAGACTCGAAACACAAACGATGGGTCTTTTCGACCTCGACTGCCTTGCTGTACGCCTGCAGAACCCTTCATCCTGATGCCACATATGACAGCNACAGCGCACATATCCCCCAAACGTCAGCTCATCAAGAGTCTGAGGAATGACCGCGAGAAGTGGTGGATAAGAAAGTGTAAAGAAGTAGAGAAAGCTGCGGCTGTTGGCAATAGTTGCAATTTTTTCCGTCTAATTAGGAATACGGGCCCTAGGAAAATAGGCGTAAATGAGGTAATTAAGGAATCCGATGGCACACTGTTTCACCATCAGGAACGCCGACAGCTCCCATACAAAAGGCTTGGTTGGCCTTGAGACATCCGTGACGGTTAGCCGCGAGNCGCGACCTGGGGACGCGCTCGGTAGCATACAGCTCTGCTCTTCCGAGCTTCAAGGTGTGTATTATTATATTGCACACTTCTCCAATCCCGGCAAATCACGTTCCCTTGAGTGGTTTAACCATGCTTGCAACCGTTCTGTACGTTTTAAAAACTCAGCATCCCGTCGTTGGCGTCACTCACCCAATCCAGCATCCCGTAACCGCTTTGTGCAAGCCAAAAACAAATGCGCGGACACTATTCAGAGAGCTAAAGAACGATTTATTTGTGATAAAGCTGCGCGCTTGGCTTCTTCCGCCACCGGTAACCAAACATTCTGGTCGCTGGCTAAAGCGTTTTCACGTAATTTCTGCCCTTCCAACTTTCCTTCCATTTGCAATTCCTCTGGTACTCTTGTTTATGATCCTCACAAAAACCGGAGGTCTTCGCTTCCCGGTTTGCCGCCAACTCCACCTTATCTCAACCCTCCTCCTACACATCCAATCATTCTTTTCTACCTATCATAACAACCAGAAAGGCCCGCCAGACTCTTCGTGCTTTGGATGTTTCTAAACCACCCGGTCCGGACGGTGTTCCACCTATCGTCCCCAAAAGGTGTACCCCGGAGTTAGCTCCTATTCTACGCCGCCTTTTCTTTTTTTCACTCGATCTTAAATCTTTCCCTATTCCATGGAATAATGCCATTATTTTTCTAATCCCAAAGTGCGATGACCCTTCAGACTCCGACAACTACCGTCCCATTACACTCACATATGTATTTCAAAAGTGTTTGAAACAATTATCTCCGACCAGCTGCATACGTTTCTCGAACGCGAAGATTTGTTAAATGACCGTCACTATGGATTTCGCCTTCGTTAATCTACGGGTGACTTACTGGCGCTCACATCACATTCCTGGTCGGCTATACACGATAAGCACGGAGAAACTCACATGGTCTCTCTCGACATTTCAGAGGCCTTCGACTGCGTTTAGCATGAAGGTCTGCTATCGAACCCACGTTCGGATTCCACCTGTCTCTGGTATCGTGGCTCAAATGTTTCCCCAGCAGGCGAACCATCTCCATCCGATTAAATGGAGTCCTATCTCGGCCATTTCATGTGAACGTCGGTGTTCCTCACGGTTCCATACTTTCGCCAACCCTCTTTCTTTTTACTTATCAACGATCTTTTATCCCAAACATTCAATACCATCCACTGTTCTGCCGATGATGCCACTCTCCTTTGTTCTCTTTCTTATCCCACACTCCGTCAAGCTAATACCAACATCGATGAAGCTCGTAAGTTCAGTTCGGTTTGAACAACCATTAACCATGTACTTTCGTGCCCCGTTTTTAGTTGCTGTCAATAGTGATACTCTTGCCTTCGATCTCGGACTAATCTACACATGGGGTTCTACCAGCCATGTGTGTTTCAATGCTTCCAAAACTTCTCTCCTCTGTCTCTGTTAAACGTATCCCCTATTCTCCTCAATTGCTTTTTGATTCTCTGCCCCTTCGTTCCACAAATTCTCTCTTTCTTCTGTGTTTATCCATAACTTCTCTCTGTTGGTCCCCTTTTATTTCTATACTTGCCTATCGCGCTGCGCTCAAAGTTGGTTTTCTATTCCACGCTAAGCGCTTCTTTACACCTAAGAACCTTCCGCCCGATGCCTGTATATATAGGGTGGAGCTTCGTATTCCGCTCTTTCTCTTCTCGGCCGTGTTCAACATAAGGCCGTCCGGCTGATCGACGAACCGTCTTTGACTGCAGTCGCTTTCCCATCGCCGTGCAGTTGCGTCGTTATCTCTTTTCTGTCATTGCTTTTTTGGTTTCTGCTCTTCCGAACTCACTTCAGCGGTTCCCCTTACATTGACCTCTCGTTCTCAAGTGGGCAGTCACCCTTATCAGGTTTCTGTCCTCAGATGTCGGACTTCTATCTTTCAATCTTTTTTTTCCCGAGAACTGCGAAATTGTGGAACACTCTTCCCATTTTCATGTTTCCCAACTCTTATAACCTTACCCTTTTCAAAAACAGTTTTAACAAATTGATTCTTACTTGAATGTTCCCCCACATACCTTCCCCTCACAGCATATCATGGATCGTGGTGGGTTTAACCCTTCGTGTGTAATAAAAAACATTCATCTTCTAAAATGCTTTCATTGTTGTTTACTGATGTGTGCACGAAAAGCCACCCTTTACTTCGGGTGAACCGTTTTCTGAAGTTGCTTTCTTTTACACATTTTCTTTCAGCTTTTCTAACGTCGACTGTTCATCCTGTAGACCCGATGTCTACACCCAGCGCTACGGACCCACGCCGGCCAAATAAATTACGCAGGTTTGATGCCACTCATATGTTTACCTTTATGCGCTAGGTTTGTTCCGGTCTCCCAAGATTCACCGCCCGTGGATCAAACAATCGACTACCTCAGTTTCATTGGAATGCTATTGAGCATATGCGGCCTTTTATTCGAAGTCAGTCCGATAGTTCCCAAATCCCGTTTACCGTTTTTTGCTCATCTGTTTCCAGATGAAACTGGCTGCTTGGGTGGCTGTAATGTGTGCCCTACTGACTTATGCTAATGCAAGAACAAATGAAGATACGAAGCAATTAGTCAGTGGCTTCATGTAAGTTGTCACGCGTGCTTGTTTTTCGAACTGACTAATCGTTTGTCCTTTTCCAGGCTTTCGATTAGCGCTCTAGTGATCTGTTACATGCACAATCCACAACCGATGCCCGTACCGTGGTAGTGTGACTAGCATGATTCTGTGATTTTGATCAATAAAATTTTGTTCTCCATGAGTTTTCTTCTGGTTTTTATTCTGAGGGCACATTTTTTGGCTTCAAACACATTGTGAATTCTATTGACAAATGTCATTTCTTTTGTTTTAGGCCGAACTCCCACCCTTACAGTTGCCCGCGGGTACCTATAACCCGGTGAATAAACGCATAATCTATGTCGGTAAGTTATTGGTTTAAGTTTTCCCGATACGATGATCTGCAGTCGTTCTACTACTACTACTACTACTACTACTACTACTACTACTACTACTACTACTACTACTACTACTACTACTACTACTACTACTACTACTACTACTACTACTACTACTACTACTACTACTACCTATGCGGTGAAGCTCCTGTCTCACGGTTCAACTCGTTTGCGCGCTGTTTGCTACATCTGTCCCCATCTGTCCATTTCTGTTCATCTCCGTTTTGATCCTATTATTCTCCCGGTCGTGACATTACTTTTTAGTTCCCGTTCTTTATCCCGTTGTATTTGGCTGCGTTCTAGCTTGTCACACACATACACTTCCGTTCTCGTTGAGGTAGCGTGGTGGTATGTTTTTAGAGCCGAAACACCAACGGAGACCAAATACTACTTCCGTAATTTTCGCTCCTGTTTTCGTTATTTCAGGCGGACTAGCTGATCAAGTGGATCTGCCGTTGTTACGGGCAGCATTTATTCCGTTTGGGGATATTGTGAACATCAATATGCCCATGGACTATCAGACAGGTACTTGTGTGTGTTTGTGTCTGTTGCAACGCTAATGCATACCCTTTCATCGGTCAGAAAAGCATCGTGGATTTGCATTTATCGAATTCGAAGAGGTCGAGGACGCAATCAGCGCGATTGACAATATGGTACGTTTAGTTGTTTTTCTTTTACCTTCGTCTGTTCCCGGTCATATCCCCTTCGTACAATTTCCTGGATTGGAGTGGGATCCTTTTCTAATTGAGTCGTTTTTCTCAATCATCTTTAAATATTAAAAAAATACTCGGGAATATTGGTGTATGACAGGTGTTAACTTTTACGACTGCTCATCATTTAACCTTATTTACACAAAAATCCATAGTTCATCCTGTTGATCATACATGTGGGGTGCACTTGACTCTTTAGGACGAGTCGGTAGATATACACGTTTGTTGAGCACTAACAAAAGCAATACTAACGTCTAGCGCCTCCAGGGTTGATTGGTTGATCTGAGGATCGTACACGGAAAGGAATTATTTTAGAGAGTTACAATTAAATTACCATATCATGGCTTTCAGTCCAACACGATAGTTTAATGGATCTCGCGTCTCATGGTATCTTCCGATTTACACTGGTCCTTTTGTTCACTGTTACTTTGGTTATTTATGTACCTATGTTTTATGCATCTAGTAGGGCATACAGGTACCTTTATTGTGATCAGACTCAGTGTCACGCATACTTCAGACGAGGTTCACCATTCGGAGTTCAAGAACCTAACTTGTCCGTAACTCAACCACAGGCTTTCTTGGCTTTTGGGGTTTTACCCCGTCTACCATTGACTATTGCAAATTGTACTGTGAAAGAGTTTCTCCGTTTTGACAAACTTGAAGATTTTCGCTTCGTACGTTTAATTAGATGTTCAGCCGGGCTGTTCCGCTGCCTTCGTAGATCGAGTTTTTCATCTGCAGTGGCAAACACAATTGGGATTTGACGTTTGAATTGATTTCGTAAAATGCATTCCAGTTGACTGTTGTGAGCTTTCAAAAACCCTATTTCTATACAGATTACTCAAGGGGCTTTAGAGCACGGCAAACCTTTCTCCTCCTGATTATTCAACGAAATCCGTCCGTCGGAAGTGATCTAGTCGGGTGATCGAATAATAATGTAACGATAATTATCACACCTTTGTCATCTCCCCCCTCACACAGAACGAGAGCGAGATTTTCGGTCGTACAATTCGAGTCAATGTGGCTAGACCCGTTCGCATTCGCGAAGGTTGGAGCAAACCGGGTAAGTTTCGGGACTGCACATAGTCTACTCAACTGCTTTTTAACCTGATCGATTTTCCTTTGCATTTGTTATCTGTAACCGAGCCACGTTGAGGGCATCTCTGTTATGATAGTGTGTTGATGTGCTCTCTGTTATATCTAGCCAAATCACGTCCAATTCCAACTCTTCAACCGCCAACCTCCTCAAATCAGGGGCTAACTAGGTCACATGACTTGCACATGACCTTAAAAATTCTAGAAAAGTTTCAGGATATCCCATATTGAAATATTGCAGGGTAGAGGTGACTAATAACACTTAACAGATTAGGGACTCATGTAACTGCTCGCACGTTGCACGAATTGTCTGGAGTTTTCGACGAATTCGATTTCTCAAAGAATTGGGCTGATTTTACAGGAAGAGTTTTGCCGTCCTAACACTCGGAACAGTTCATCAAACTTTTCAAGTCCTCAAGACCATCGACACCATATAATGCTCCCATTTTTCTCAACAATGCTTTGGCAGACTTGTGGAAGATATTTTGTACTCAAACCTCGGGATTTGTCTTGAATGTATCCTCATCATCTTCAGTATTGGTGATCGAGTTGTCAAAGTTCTTGTTACAGAATTGCTGCTTCAAATCCTTCGATTGTCACAGGTGTCGCTCGCAAACTATTTTTAAGTAATTTACTTTACTAGTCATAATCTTATATGATTTTTCCCTGGAAATCCGGAGGCCATGCTGAAGCCAACTTCTTCACACCCCAAATCTAGATCATGCTTTGCCGCGGCGTCACTTCTCTTAACCATGCTCACCACATGACAACAGAACATAGAAGAGTAGACAATGGGTAGATACGTGTGAAAAAATGCCGAAGCCATCGTAGCGGACATTCAACAGCTTACTCTTTCAGAGATCAACTTTTTTCGCCCACCGCACGCTGACAAACCTTGTCAGTACTTACCCGATGTTATTTCTGGAAGCAAGCAATGTTTCGAAGAGATTGGTGGTCAGATACAGATAATCGATTAGCATCCGCAGCATGGAGAGACCAAAACTCGCAATTATAGAGCAAAACACATCGAATCCCGATGACGTACATCGTTCCCCTAAGCTAAAATCAGTTTTCATGGTGGTGTCCCAGGTTGAAAAAGTTACGTTAGTTTTATTTATTCGTGATGTGATCTTCCTCAATACAATTAATTCCCAGGCGACACCAAATTCCCGAGGTACTTAAAGCACCGGAATATCTCCAACTGATTACAGAAGCAAAGCGATATATATATATATATATGCTATGATTTCCTCATGGGTGAAATATTGCTTGATCCTTTCGGTTAAAGTAAGTGAATTTTCTCAGGGAATTTACAACCTGAGTGTTCAGCTTGCCAAAGCCAAATCCACAGGATAACGAAGCTGTGTGAAAACGACTATTTTTTGGGACCGGTATCATACACCGGATCATGCGCTCTCTGGACAGGGTTAAATGTCCAAGGACCTCAATAAATCTGGCTGTCCGAACAAACCGGTGATCACTTCCATAACCAGGATGGCGTGAACGTGGTTCGTACGCCTATTCTTGGTTGGCTTTTAACCAGCATTTGTAGCTAACTCTTCCAAGGGAACTGCCACCAGATTAAAGCTCCTGATGTTATTTTTTTTCGTCCTCCCATATCGGTGGGGAGATCGTCACGTAAAAGCAGTAAGGCAAACTTCCCCGACAGATTATTTGTGAAGCTTGGTTTTATAAGAGCATATGGTGCGGTGCAAAGGAACGGCTACCAGTCACAACTCACCCCTATTTCAGTTTCAGTTTGTACAACCAATAACCACGCACTATCGTGCGCCGGTTTTGGTTGCTGTCTTTTGGCTACCCATCTGGATGAACATTGGGAGGAAGATAGGAAAGGTTGAAAGTAGGATCAAAGAAAATTTATAATTTCAGTAGACTAATGTTGCAGAGAAATTGACAAGGTGCACAAACGCCATCCACCCCTGACCATGCAGAGTCTTTCGGAGGACAAGTTGAAATGCAATGTGGACATGCAGCAGCCTGAAAGCACTCCACTGAAAACTGTAGAGAATGACGAAATCTTACCCCAGGCTTTAACCCGACCTGTTTGGGTCGAGTATTGTTAATTCCAACACTGTCTATCGAATGTCGTTGTTTGTTGGTAGCGATGCTGTTTGACTAAGCTGACTGATTGATCGGTTGTCTAAAAGTTCTCTCCCGATGTACTGAAGTTTGAGAAGTACTCTGGCCTTCAAGTCGGCACATTTTCTACGATTGCGTGCTTAATTAATTGCGGGACCAA